AAACCCCCAACATATTGGAAATACTTCTAAATAATTTATTAATGAAATAAATCATAAAAGAATCAGATGATATTTTAAACTAAAATAAAAAGGGAACTATATATCAAAATTTGTAGGGAACAGCTAACATAATACTTAGAAATTTATAACTTTAAAATGTTGATAATTTTTAAAAAGGCCAAAAGTCAAGAGTTGAGGATACACTTTAAGAAACTAAAAAAAAGAAAAGAAGTAAACCCAAAGTAAGAAGAAGAAAGGAATTTAAAAAGATATGAGCAGAAACAAAAAAGAAAGAAAATAGCAATAGGAAATCTCATTTATTGTTGGTGGGACTGCAAATGTTAGATTCACTTTGGAAAATAAAACTTTCTTGTAAAATTAAATATGACAATATGGATGATTCTCAAAAGCATTCCCTCAGTGGCAGACACTAACCTCCAAAGAGTATTTATGAAATAATTCTATTTTTTTGAAGTTCCAGAACAGGTAAAATTAATCCATGGTGAAAAAAAACAGGATAGTGTTTGCCTTTGAGAATGAGATTTGGGAGGGAGAATTGAGTGGAAAAGATTACAAAAGAACTTCCTGGGAATGTTCTCTTTCTTGATATGTACTTGGGTTAAACAAATGTATGTATTTGTTAAAGCTCAGCAAATGTAACAAGATATGTGCATTTCATTGTGCATAAATGTCCCATCAAAAGATAAAATTATAAACAAATATTGAACTCTACTTACTGATCTGCCTGAAGAAAATTGAAGTGAAACTGTGCCAATGCACTTTACTTTGAAATACGTCAAAAAGTAAAATGATTTAATGGACAAAAGAAAACATATATGGATAGATGTAAAGGCATGTAGTAAAAAAAAAAACTAATGGTACTGTCTGGGTGGTGGCTGTATGAATGTAAACTATAAAAAATCTTTCAACTTTACTTTTTGCAAATTGTCAAAATAAAATGTTGTAGGAAAGATGTTTTGAAGACCATTGGGAGAAATTTAATAAAAATTGGATATTAGCAGATATTTAAATTTTTTTTGATATTTTTATAGTTTTGTGGTTATGTATAGAATCTTATTCTTAGGAGAAATGAGCTAAAACATTTAGTAGTGAGGTGTCAAGATGTTTTCAATTCACTTGGTAATGGTTCAACAAAAAAAATTTATCTAAATAGAACAAATAAGGCAAAATGTTAACAAATACTGAATCTAGACCCTGACTACTGGGATTTTCATTGTCCATATCTTTCATTATAAAATATTTAAAAAGTAAGCTGTAGAAATCATAAGATATTCAAAGATTAGAGAATATAAAGAATGGAAACTCTACATCTGAGAGTTTCATAATTCTTAGTGTTCCTTAAAAGGGCTCCACTCTGGTTTCCTAGCTATACAGACTGTTGCTAGACCTGGCTCAGAAGGTGTCTTAGTCCATTTTGTGTTGCTACAGGAGGACACTGGGACTGAGAAATATATAACAAACAGAGATTTGTTTCTTACAGTTCTGGAGGATGGGAAGTCCAAGGTCAAGTATCCTGCATCAGCTGAGGCCTTCTTGCTTCTTCCATCATCCCAAGGTGCAAGGTTGAAGGGCAAGAGAACATGAGAGAACGAGAAAGCAAAAGGGGGCCAAAATCATTTTCATGACACGTCTGCTCTCATGACAAGTCTGCATCCCTAACTCACTCTCATGATAACAACATTAACCAGTGCCCTCATGACTGAATCTCTTCCAAATGTGTTGAGGACACATTTCATACTGCAGCAGAAGGCCAGATCTTCAGCATTCTCTATTGGCCTCTGTCTTCTTTCACTTCTGCAGACAGTTTCTATTTCAGAGTTTGTGAACTTCCGGGTTCACGATCTTGACTTTTTGTCCTGATTCTGAATTACATTGTTCACCACCTTGATGCTACGCTACATCTTTCCCATCACAAAGGAAGACTTTGCGTGTCATTCTAATTATTGAGAGCTAGCTCCTGAACTTCACTGCACTGGAGATCCATTAGATGTTCAACAACAAATTTGTGGCCAAAAAGAAAAGTATGTAAAAGAGTGGCTATAATAGAGCAAGGTGTCTGTCATCATTCAGCCATTAGCTTTTGTTGTGTGCAGTACCCTGAGAAATGACATAGAAACAGACTGTTCAAGTCTCTGGAGATGAGGTTGGGAATGGGTAGAGGTACTAACGAAGACCAAGTAAGCACTGTCACACTGCCGTGAATATACTGGAAAGCAGCATTTGGCCACCTTCTTGGTCTCCTCTCATTGTGGTGTCTGTGTCTGGATGTACTATGTTTGTTTGCTCCAGGAACTGGAAGTCCTTCTTTGGAAAAATTATGCTTTCCTTCATTTCATTGGAAATTCCTCAGCTAACATATTTTCCTATTATGGAATCTAGCTCTCAAAGGATTTTTGAGGCTTACAAAAGAAATTTCTTGATAAAAATGTAAATATAGTGAATTTCAGAGTATTTCAAACTGCCTTCATTTCAACCCCTTGTATGATTTCTTATGAAAACTTGAGTATATCTTATATTGGATATTCTGGACAACTGGACTCCCAACCGGGCCTGTCCCAAGTATTTCATGAAGAAATGGTTTAAGAAGTAAACTTCTGACTCCTCCCAAATTTATAGAATCAGTATCTTTGGAGCACAGGGTCTTGGAGTCTCTATTTTTTTAAACAAAACTACTCAATTTACTCAGATGATAAGTAATTTATAGACTGATAGACAAATGCTTCTTAAATTTTAACATGTATATGAAGTACCAAGGTATCTTATTAATATGCAGATTTGGATCCCGCAGTTCTGAGATAAGTTCTATATTTCGTATTTTTAATAAGCTCCCTGATGCTGCTGGTGGTCTGTAGACGACACTGTGAGGACTGAGGATCTTGATTAGGACCCGAAATGTTTTCTTTAAAATCAGGGTCGTGTCTTTCTTTTGGCCAGTATCCATCCTGTGACTGTATTCTCACTTTTCTCTGTGTCTTTTTGCTTTGAAATATTGCTTGAACAGTTGATGACTCAGGTGAGAATGACGGTTCACCTTGGTTTGCTCATCAGGGTCCTAGGTTACAACTATTGTCCTGCATAATTGTTCAAAGTTCTTCTACTAACTTTATTCTTAGAAAGGCCTAGGTTGGAAGATAAGATAAGTTCACCTTTTCTAAGCTTATAAACACTGAGAGGTGACATGGTATGCTGTACAAAACATAGGTTGTTTAACGCATATCCCATGTATGTTTGAATCCTAATTTTATTATTGCATACTACACATACAACCATAAGCACATCACACCTCATAACCTCATATGCAAAGCAGAAGTGGTTTATTATGAAGACTTTTGGAAAGAGTATTGAAGCTTCTAGTATAGAGGCTAGCACATAATAGGTACTTGTTTATTTAGCTCCTGTGTCTTTATGGTCAATGAAATGATGTCTAGCTTGCTTTGAAATAATAGAAATAGAGTGCTGCTCTCAACTCAGGATCAGAAGCAGCTGTAGTACTAAAACGACGTATCTGCTATGCTTGTATTTTGGTTCAAACCTCATGAGCTCATATGGAATCTATCTTTGAATCCAATAGTCCCATGTGATTTCTTGGTTATCATGTGTGCTGCAGCTATGTTAATAGACCTAAATCTTGAACTAGGGAAACAAAGGTATTAACATTTATTGAGTTCTAACCACACCAGATGGAGGTAGTTCCAAATTGGAACAGACCACTAACAAAATCAGAAGAAAAGGCATAGACAAGTTTAATCCGTTTAAAAAAACAGAAATAGTTAACAGATTTCTTGGGTGAACCTCTATATCCCTTATTTTAGATCTAAGAGCCTCATAAAAAGATTTTGATATGACTACAAAGCAAGAAGAGGATGTGGGTAGAAATAGAAAAAACTTGCTTATAATCTTACTGCAGTAAAATCCCCATGAAAGCACATTCAAGAATTATGCAAATTTGAATAAACCGTGATCAATGATTGGCTCCTATCGTGTTTTTCAACTAATTATTCCGACTTGCCTGGGTGATTTCATTGACTTTTTAAAGAATTAAAAATGTTGGGGTACCATTTGAATGTCATGGTAGTGTTTTATTAAGAAAGCTATTTGAGTCCTTGTGTTCTGCACATGATCTTATTAAATATCCCAAACAACTTTATGGTATAAGTAATGTTAATATTAATATTTTGCAGGTGAAGAAACTGAGACGCAAAAAATTTAGTTTCACGCAGGTTCACTTCAAAAGTAGGAGAGAACAGAGATTTGAACTTCAGTACCTGTAACTCTCAGATCCCTATTGGTAACTGTGACATATGGCTTCTCTGTGTTAATTAGTGCTTCCAGTCTTTCCACATTTCCAAAACAACAATTTATTACCCTGTGGTCAAACTCGAGAATTTAGTTTGGAAGAATGGATTATGTGAGATACATTTACATGTGGAGTGAAGGCAGCAAAGACTTGGAGCTGGGGCAAAGAGACAAAGTATATTAATTTATTTTACAACTTTACTGAGGTGTAATTGAAGTATAACAAACCGAAGATACTTAAAACGTACAATTTTATCAGTTTTGACAAATGTACATAATCATAAAACCATCACCATAATCAAGTTAACAGTCATTTCCCTCTCCCTAAATTCTCCCCCCGGCCCCAGCATCCATCCCTCTCTCTGCCAAGATCCACATGCAACTGCTAATCTGCTTTCTGTCACTTTAGATTAGTTTACACTTTTTAGAGTTTCACATAAATAGAATCGTAGAGTGTATACTCCTTTTTGCCACATTTCTTTCATTCAGCATAATGATTTTGAGATTCATCTGAAGTCTCAATTTGTTGAGCATAACAATAATTTGTTCCTTATAAAATGATATTTTAGAGACGTTTTTCATAATACTCTTTGACATAAACCATCATGATAAAACCCTATTCTTCTAAGGAGGTGAAACAGGTTCACAGATACAGAGATTGCCTCTGTGCTGGCCTAATTATTAAAGCAATGTCTTCACAGCAGGTGGAGGTTTAAAATGGACTGCTTAAAGTACAAGTCTTCTTTAAAGGTTAGTTCTCTCAATTGAGCTTTGACAGTTACTAAGGGACAATATATCTGCCCTATGGCCCCTCAACTAGTAGCTCTTTAATGTTTTTATTTATAATCCAATCCCTATGCTTTGACACTAGAGCTAGAGGTTTTTAAATTGGTGCATTATAATTATACAAAATAGTTGGATTCATTAAGCCAGGATTGTGCATGCACATAACATAAATTATTAATCTCATTTCTTCTGCCCTTTCCTTCACCTCTCCTTTGCTCCCCTTGATCTGCTTGCTATCCTTTACTGATCTTTCACTATTAGTAGTATTTTGATTTGTGCATTATAATTATATTTAAAAGTGAGATTCATTGTGGCATATTCTTACATGCACATAGCATATTTTGGCAGATTCTGTTCCCCAGTACTTCCCCATGTCTTCCCTTCCTCCCTCTCAATCCCCTGCCTCTAGTCTGTTGAATGATCTCCCTTCTGTTTTCATGAGCTCCCTCTATTTAGCTCATGAAATATAAATATAAATCATATAATATATAATAAATAAATAAATAAATATGTAAAGCTCCCTCTTTATTCTATTCTCCCCCCCCACTCTTTATAACTTCCACATATAAGAGAAAATATTCAAACTTTGACTTTCTTAGTCTGGCTTATTTCACGATGTTCTCAGTTTCTATCCATTTACCAGCTTATTTTAGATCTTTTGAATAAATACCTAGGAGTGGGATAGCTGGGTTCCTTTTTATTGCTGGAATCATTTTGCATTATATGGATATACCACAAATTGTTCATTCATTTACCTGTTGATGGACATCTAAGCTGTTTTTCAGATTATTACTGTTAAACAGAGTTTCTATGAACATTTGTGTACAAGTCTTACTATGGATATATGTTTTCACTTCTTTTGTCTAAAAACTTAGAAGTGGACCAGCTATGGGTTATAGTATGTTCATGCTGAAGTTTTTGAAAAACTGCTGAACTGTTTTCAACATACTCACTAACATATATATTCTAAAACTTGATATTGTCAGTTGAAAAATATACATTATCCAATCTAATGAACTAACAGTGGTATCTCATTTTTAATTTGCATTTCCCTGATTATTAATGTTTTGAGCATCTCTTCATATGCTTGTGGGCCAATTGTAGTTTCTTCCAGGTAAAGTGTCTATTAAAATTTTTAAATTTGTTTTGAAAATTAGATATTTGTCTTCTTACTATTGACTGTTGGGTTTTTAAAAAATAAATTCTGTACACAAGCCTTTTCTGATATATATTTAGCAAATATTTTCTCCAGTCCTGTGGCCTGCTGCTTTTATTTTGTGCCTTTCAAGTAGTAAACACTTAAATTTCATCAGAGACTAATTTTTAAATTTCTTTCCTTTATGGTTTTTGTTCTCTATACAAGAAACATTGCCACAAGGTCTCAATCACTTCTTGTAAAAAACTTTAGAGGTCTATGTTTCAAATTTAGGTTGTGATCATTTCAAGTTGGTTTCTATGTATGGTATGAGGTAAGGATTCATGTTAATTTTTTTTTTCCTGAGCAGTATATTCAGCATTCTGTGTAAGAAAGACTTCCCTTTCCCCATTGAATTGCCTCAATACCTTTGTTAAACATCATTTGATCAGATGTGTGTGAGTTTATTTCTACATTCTCTATTATTTCCCATGGATTTGTATATCTATCTTTAGCTTTTGATAGGTTTTATTTTATTCAGTGGGAGGGACGCTCTGGGGTGTAACTTTGACGCTGCATTGTGGAAGAAAAATATGTAATTTAAAAAATATTTTCAGATTCTTCTATCGGTAAATATGGGTTGCTGATTAGTAGAAGTTTCCAGCTAATCCTGTCAAATATTGTTAAGAAATAAACTCCTTATAAATGCAATATAAAAATGTTGATATACATATCGTGGGATGCCAGCGGAATCATTTACTCTCCTTTATGAGTGTTTAGAGCAAAAGACTTGTGCAGTCAGATTGTAACATGCTTTAGGGGGTTGGACCTTTTTGTTACTAATTCATTGTTTGATTATTAATCCATGTGAAATACATAAGTTGTTTAACTTCACAGTTCTAGACTTTCCTCTTATGAGGCCTCAATTCCAGATTAGCACAGAAACTTAATTTGGCAAAGAGAACTTGCTAAGCAAGTGGAACCTCGCTGAGTGCTAGTGTGCTTGTGGAATCATGAACTACCGCATTGTGTTGCTCCTGAAGGCAAGGAAGACTGCCTGTGCAGATTTTACTGAAGGTTAAGACTATTTTTTTCATAGGACAGTATTTAAAATATTGAAATAGTATATTCATCATTTTTTGAAAAGTACTTTTTTTAAAAGCCAGATTCTCACACATAATTTTTCTTCTCTTTATATAATCATCGAAGCAGTGTTTTTCATTTCTTTCTCTCCAGGCTAAGCTCCATAAGACAGCAAACTTGTCTATCTGGATCATGGTCATAGTCCAAGATATTAGCATAGAAATTGGTATAGAGTAAGTGATAATATTTATTGCCTAAATAAGTGAATAGATGCTGTTTGAAAGTCATTCCTCTGTGACTGTTGGTCTCTGGAAAGCTTCTTAATTGCCTGTTTTTCCTCAAGAGAGGCCAAGATACCAGATGCATCCTGATCAGCAGAGGCTACAAAAGTGAAAAAACACACAGATGTCCAGAGGCAGTGCAATTCATTCTTCTTCATTCCAAAAAATAACTCCCTAAATAGAATATTTTTTTTTCTGATAGGGATTTTTGCTTGTGGGTGGCTAATAGTTAAACCAAAAAAAAAAAAAAAAAAGTCTTGGTTATGAATGTTGTGGCCATGAGTTTTTATAAGCTTATTTACTTTGACCAGGGATTTCCTCCTTTTCTGCTGTAAGTTTGTTCAGATTAGTGACTGTTTAGTTTTGTAAAAAAATACCTGATGTCTAATTCAACCAAAGCTAACACTTTTTCTTCTGCAAAGCCAAGAGCTATTGAGATTCTGACTATTGAAAACATTCATAAGAGACTTTGAATGACCACACACAAGTTAGGGACACAGGAATACAGGATTGTTTATGTACAGTGACTGAAATGACGGAAATCCAGAAGGGTCCTTTCCAAGATACATGGGATTATGATGAGAGATCAGTGTAGGTGACTGCCTTCTTATCCGGGATGTCAAACCTACTGTTGATCAATGACACATCACATCTGAGAGCTTTCCCTCCATTTTTTTTTTTTTTTTTAGAAAATCTATATTTAAGAAAGATAAGAAGAAAGTCTGGGTGAGGGTGAGAAAAGAAAGGCAGCCCATGCTATTGTTTTATTCATGATTTGTTCTTAAACTTTTCATTTTAGAAAATAAATGCAAGAACGTGGGATTTAGAGACTGTGTGTTTCTTTTTCCAGGAAGACTTGAACCAGGTTTGAGATAATTTTAAGTTTAATGGACAGCTCTTAAGCAGAAAGGCTAAATCTTCAAATCCTCAGTCCTCTCTACACGTGGAGTTTTTCTTTGAGATTGTCAAATAAATATGTTTGGGGAAGATGGTAATTAAGTGTGAACAGATGGCCATTGTTAGTTGAGATATTAAGTCTCAACGTTTATGTTTAACAGGATGATCTGCCTGTTGGAATCAGGGGGGGTGATGGAGTATACACGGGTTGGCAAGAAGTCAAGTTTGTCAAAGCTAATTGGGAACTGTGATAGAGATGCAAATTCCTTATAAGGCTTGAGGCCTGGGGAAGTGTTAGAGGAAGATTACAACACTGGGCTGCATTCTGCCAGAACTTTACACGTGGCTCTGCAGATTTAAGGTTACCTCCCAAATAGAAATAAAGTGTTTCCAACAAACAACACTGTGGTGGAGTGGAAAGGGCACTGGACTTGTTTCAATTGCTGCTTTGCCCTTCCCTGACTTTGTGACCTGGGGCGAGTCCCCGATTCCTTCTGAGCTCCAGTGTCCTCTTTTTTCAAATAAACGAGGGTTCGAACTAAAACACAATTCTGTTATTTTTCCAAGGCATTGTCCAGCTGGCAAAGTGGTAGCACATGTCCACTGCAAGAGCCTCCTTGATCTCATTAGATGCAGGGAGACGTCCAAGTCTTTGTGCCAGGCAGGGTGGTGGGCTGTGGACACTTCCATTATGAACAACTTCTGGTTATTGGGTGAAGAGTACCATTTGAAGTTTCCAAGCACCAGAGTTTCCATTGGCTTCCTCCTCCTTCATGCACTATATATTTCAGGGTTTAGAGTTCAATGATTTTATAGATGAGGGAAATATGAGCTACCGATTTCAGAAAAAGCCAGAAGCTGAGCTCATAGTTAAGAATATGTCAGGATTTGGTAAGCAGCTCTGAGGGCTTTTAGGAAAGGTCAAAAGATGGCTTGAAGGCTGTAGATAGGACACTCTGTACCCCTCCAGTCCATATGCGGGAGGTGAAGAAAAGACAGACATTTGGACATTTGGAAAGTACTGGGAGATTTTTCAGGTTTCATATACCATCTTCGAATGCTGCATTCACACACACATACACATTTAAATAAAGGTTTGCTTGAAAAACTTGTTGTCAGAATGTGCCTACAAGATTTTCAGGTAGACCAAGGGATGGAGTAGTTGTGAGAGGAGTTTTACAGCCTCAGTACTATTTAATGAAACTCTTCGTGCAGAGCTCATAGAAGGAATGGGATACAACCCAGTGGCACGCCAATATCAAACTGTACTATTCAGAAACAGTAATAGATACAATTTCACTAAAGGAGAAGAAAAGTCATGTCTTCACAAGCCGAGTGTTTGCCAAGTACATAAATCACCTAGGAAGAAAGCGTTGAGGATTATTATTATCCTCAGTGTCGGAGCCTTATTATTGTGAAGTCCCCATTCCCTGCAATCATGGTTTAATTAATGGGCACTCCTGGACTTAGAGCAGATGACAGCTTCCCTGAGGGGTAGCAGGAGACTGGGGACAAGGTGGCAGCACTAATCGTCTCACTGTTCCTTATTTCAGTGGAGAGAAATTAGG